ATATAACAACAGTGAGATCTCCTGCAGCTGCATCTGTAACCCTGAATCTTCAAAGCACACACAAATAAACGGACCACAGCTCTCAGCGCGAGGCCTCTGGCTCCAGGAGGCAGCTGGTAGCAGCGTCTGTCTCCAAAGGCAGGTTTGGACTGAGCAGCGTCTCTGTAAGCAACACAGTGGAGAGCTGACGTTTATCCCGCTTTATGGTGATATTTCAATGATGTGTTTACGCCTGATCTAGCGCTTCCTCACCTGAAGGGACCATAATAACAGGAGGCAAACTTTGCACTGTAGCTCAGCACTGAAACCTGGAGAAGAGAGAAATGTGAATATTAGAGTCCGATATTTCTTCTTTCTGTGCCGTAAAGCTCTATTGTTGCTATAGAAACATCAGTGAGCTACACTGTTGTACTTGGTATGTACTGTAATGAACACACATTGCAATTTATTTGGACTCAATCCCACACAGACAGTTGTACAAAATGTGTATGCATTTTATGTGGTGCAGTGGCTAGAGCCTTGGTGTTGGGATCAGGGGGTCACAGGTTCAAACCCCACTGCAGTCAGCATGTCGTTGTCCTTCACCCCAAATTGCTCCTGTGGGGATTGTCCACAGTATTGAGTATGTAAGTCACTTTGGATAACAGTGTCGAACATGTAATGTAATGTGTATTAATCAGCCACTAAAAATAGTCCCCAACAAACTCACAGTTTACTCCTGGGTGAGTACATTTCCAGCTGTTTTAGAAGAATCATTTATATAGTAAGAACTTGTTAGACCTTGATTACTTTTTGTGAGGGCTTCTTGATTTCCTAGTTTGTACAAGTTTCTTTCTTCTCCAGGGATTCAAAGTAATGTACCTTGTTTCCCAGCCCGTTGGATATCAGGGCTCGTTTAATGGCTCTGACTCTTCCATCCATCATATCAGAGGGAGCGATTATGTGACAGCCTGCAGAGCAACATGACAACATGATTAGGGAACACACCAATATACTGTCATGACTGACCAAACTGACAGAGTTGAATTCGTCAAATTTAATTATTTAGTCTAAAAAAACAAAACCGGTATCAAGCTTTTGTTCCTTATTTAAACAAAAAAACAATTGGAAAGTAAACTATTTAAAGGTGGGGTAGGTACGTTTGGGAAAGCGGCTCGAGATACACTTTTTGTTATATTCCATGGAATGCTCTTAACATCCCGATAGCAATGAATATCTGAAGTGCTTTGACAAAAAATCCATAGAAAAAAGTCATCTGTGGAAGCCGTAGTGCTGTAAAAAGCACGACCAATCATTTTAGCCGGCCCGGCTAAAATAACTGGATGGCCTACCTGCTTGTCAGCCTTCCATCTGTGCACAAACTTATCTCGTGCCCTCATTGGTCATGTGCGCGTTCGTGTGTGTTGGAGGAGGGGCTCTGTAAGGAAGTGGCAGATTTGTTCCGGCTGTGTATTTTCAAATTCTAGCGCACTCGAGCTGGTTTCTCCAAAATGACCGACCCCACCTTTAATGCTTACCACCAATAAATCCCAGAATACAAACATGATGGTAGTTCTGGCTCCTTCAAAGGTGAACACAATTAAACATGTTTTCCTTTCATTAAAATCCCCATAATTACATAAAGAATGTTTGAAAAGCCAAAATCCCTAAGTTGTAGACCTACTCTAAAAATAGTTGTGAATGATCATAGGCGATGATAAAGTCTTGATCAATAAATAAAAACGTGTGGAAACATGTTTACCAGCTTGAGCGTACGCCAGCGACACTTCTCCCAGACGCAGAGCGCTGGCGTCATTGTTCAGAGTACCGTCATCGTTCAGGATACCTGCAGGAAAATAACAGAAAATAAACGTAGTAAGAAAATGTAAATACATGCCGTTATTTCTCTCTGCTCTTTAAGTCAAATGAAATAGAGATAATCTAACCGCAGTGTCCGTGTGATGTGTAAGGACACAAGCAGACGTCACACGCCACCAGCAGCTCGGGGAACAAAGAGCGGATCTTCTTCACCGCCAGGACCGCCGGCGTGTCGTCCGTGTCCGCGCCTGAGCCTCTGTCGTCCTGAGGGAAGATCACAGAGTGTGTTAAGAAGACCTGCTTCTTTACAGAGATGGTGAAGAAGCAGCTTTGATGCCCCTTCGCATCCGTATTGCAAAAGCAACACCCTCTAAGGGGGATTTCCTCCAGATTGTGGAACATCTGTGCAGGGATTTCTTTCAATATCAACACAAGATATGAGTGAGGTCCAACTATATTTAATGATAAGGCTCAACTTCTTTATTGCACTATTATTATTTCCTTTTTTTATGTCTCAAGTATATTGTACTGTTGGTGGGGCTGTAGCTTTTATGTGTATGATAATAAAACCTTTGAATCTTTGTCCATATCATACATTTTTATAACTGGCTAATTCCTTATTAAGGCCTTGTACTTTTGCACTCAGGTCAAGGTACAGGGGCTGGGTTTCTCATTTACCAGTGTAATACACATATGAAAACCATTATTAGATATAGATTGACTTGGCAATATTACATTTCTACTAACCACTTCCTTAAGATGAATGTTGACAAAAAGGCAAGACATGCATTTCATTCAAGTTGTTTAGCATGTCTTTGGGACATCTTTTAGTCTTCCATACCTTTTCTAAGTTAGCAGGGACACCAAATATCAGCACACATTTCAAGCCGTTCTCCACGAGAGGCCGCAGCATTCCCTCCAGCTTGTTCACCCCATATCTGTGGATGGAAATACAGATCATATTCATTTTAGGGTTAGGCGTAAATCCCAATATAGCTCATTTCATATTTTTTGAGGAAATGAATCCAAATACTTATGTTTTTTTATGTGTGAATTAAACATTTAAAAAATGAAAAGAACGTTAATGCAAAATGAACTTTACACTGGTTGTTACATTGGCCTCAAACCAAGTGGTAAAGTAAAGTATGATGTTAAAACAAAATCGCAATCTTCAAATTGTATTCCATCAAAATATTTCGGATGACATTATCTGAGAAATTGGAGTTAGTTTGTGCTTGGTATTATCAATTTAGACAACTTAATTGTGTATCATGATATCTCAATAAATAATTGATCTCGATACTTTCAAATTAAAGACAAAAAAATATGATATTGAATTATCGCCCAGCTCTATATGAACCTTGTATCAAAACAGGGAATGCCTAAAACAACAAATTGAAAATATATATATTCAAGGGACTAGAAACTGAACTATTGAAACGTAATGTTACATTTCAAACAGGAACAGTGTGCAGTCCCTGTTGATGTAATTCAGAAGGACCCTTAACACAAAGGAGCGTTTGCAGTTCGGTTTTGTTGTGAGGAATAAAAAGCTCTAACGGATTGTCTCCTTATCTCAGTCCAGCTCCAGTGTTTGGCTCTGGGTCCGCCTTGCCTGACTGATTTTATCTGAAGACAACACCCTGAGTTTGTTCACAACTGCAGGGTTAACTGTGTGTGTCTTTTGAATTATGTTTAAATGTAACTCCTACAGTTAAAGCAAGGCAACAACACACAAACAGAAACATTTGTTTAGAAAAATGGGTGTTGTGTCAATTCAGTTATGGGATGGCTATAAATGAATGACTCTTACCTGGCCTGTCCCGGCAGGCTACCAATGGGCTCCACTGCATCTGCACTGTCTCTGTAGGAGAAAGAGACAAAGGACCAAGATTAAAACCAGTTAAGCGTAACATTACAAAATGTTGCATTATATTTCACTCCTTGTGGGGAAAAGTCCATTGTTGTTGACTATGTAAACTTGTTTATTTCAGCCTTTTCATGTCAAATAAGGAGAACAAATTGCAATTACGTGACGAAGATGGGGTAGATGAGGTTGTCAGGTCTTATATCAGCAGCACAGGTCTGCCAGTATCGGAGCGTTGGGTGGAAATAGCCACTGTGGATGATGGACTCTGCTGGTGTCTGCATGTTTACCCTGAGACAGAGGGATTATTAGTGAAACAACACAGAACGTGGGAACAGGGAACAGGTCCGGTTCTGTTTGGACATCAGTCAGAATACCACTCGCACACTCTTTTGCTTCAACACAACTAATTCACCGTTAAATGTGAGCAGGCATGCGTGATGCTGCTTCTCTAAACACCAGCTTAGACCCACCTCACTGCACACAAAGCAGGCTGCAGGTTTTCAAATGATATTAAATAGAAAGCTTTTAGTCCCAAAGGCAATGTTTACCACTTTGTTCTCCATGCACATGCTTTGTCTTAACTTTGCAGCAATGCTTTAATGCACAATAACGAATATCTTCCCGAGCAAAGTGATAGATTTACATGGCAAACTGTAACTTTAAGATGAAAAACATTATTCTTACGGAGCAGTTTACTTTTTTTTTTAGCATGAAACACATCAGTAATGACGGTTGTGTAATTGCCATTTAACTTTAATGGGTGTTATTTTAACATTTTCACCGCCTGTGTGCTCGTGTGCTTTTTAACCAGAACAGGTTGAGTTACTTTTACAACATTTCATTTGTCACCTTGGTCGGGAAAATAACATTGCAATGTACGGAGGGTGTTAAAGCAATAACCCAGAGCAACGTATGTATTCAATATGTAATACTACAATACACAAATATAAATAAAAACGACAGAAATACAACATTAAGACATTGTAATTACCTGTGAATCAGAATGACTCCTCCACACTTTTTCACACGAACAGTGTTTCTTCTTCTTCGGTTTTGACCCGACTGTTTGCGGTTGAAGTGTCACCTCACTACTGCCACCTAGAGACCGGAGATGTATCTATATATTGAGCCTAATATAAAGAAACCAACCAAAAATGTATATATTTACATTTGTTGTATATCTATTATTATCTCCCCCAAAAAACAGGTGGAATTTCTACTTGTTATACTCACATAACGCTGTAAAATAAGGGGTGATATTGCAAATATTTGCTCATAAACCAAAATCCGTCCCTTCCGGCCACCGTAAAATCCGAGTTTCTCTTCTCGCGATGTTTTCTCAGTAGGCGAGACAAGAGAAGAAGCTACGATAGTAGCCGTTTGTTAGCCTTATGTACTAAACAATTTCGCTTTCAGCTGGATGGAGGAAAACACTTCCGACTGTTATTAAGGTAAAGTAAAGTGTGGTCACAATGAAACAGATGTTGTATAAGGCTTTATGTGTGTTGTGCTGGTAATAACATGGACTGTATCATCTCTGACTGTCATTAGCTAGCATTGTAGTGAAAGGATCGGCTACTGGCTGTATCATCGATGTACAGTAGCTCGATCTGTAACGCTAATATGTAATGTTAATGTATCATTTCTAATTCAGATAGTCAATTGGTTTCTACGTGAGGCTAGTCCTTCTGAAAATTGAGATGACAATGTGATGACATAAGGGAGAAATGTGTAATCACTGCCTATCTTCACTAGCTGTTTACTAATTCAGTAAGATGTGACATGGGCCCTGTCTACACTACGTTACAGACAATGCGGGGTGTTTTTGATTCTTTCTTTCAGATGTGACACACTCTATCCGATTTTCTAATGTTATGTGTTCTTTATTTTACATAAGGAAGGGTTTCCAGAGGACCTTCTGCAGACACCTCCCAGATCATCATCCTCCTCAGTTTTGGATTTGAAGATGTAGCTAAGAGTGAAGTGGGTCATCTCTGCAGCACCTCTCCATTTCCAGGCATAAGCAGTGACTTCTGACCTCCACCCTAACTCTGGAATATTTGGCCCCTAACCAGGGCTGCCTAGTGCGTGACTCGGCCGTCCTCAGTCAGTCCGTCCCTGGTTGAAGACCCTGCTGTCCTCAGCCATGCTGTTCTCCCTGAGGGAACTGGTCCAGTGGCTGGGCTTTGCCACCTTTGAACTCTTCCTCCACCTGCTAGCTCTGCTGGTATTCAGCATGCTGGTTGCTCTGCGATTTGACATGTTCACCCCCTCGCTGAGCTGGTGGCTTGTGTTCGTCCCGCTGTTCGCCGCCGACGGCCTCAGCACCTACTTCACGGCCATTGTGTCCATCCGTCTTTACCAGGAGAACGAGAAGCGCCTGGCAGTGCTGCGGCTCCTCTGGGTGCTGACGGTGCTCAGCCTGAAGCTGGTGTGCGAGGTGCTGCTCTGTCAGAAGCTGGCGGAGCAGGAGCAGGCCAGAGACCTGTGGTTCGGCCTCATCGTCTCGCCGCTGTTCATCCTGCTGCAGCTGCTGATGATTCGAGCGTGCCGCGTCAACTGAAGAGAAGCAATTAGTGGTTCACATCAACAACCAAACGGGAAGAGAAAGCAATCTTTTTCTGCCATTAGAGATTTAAAGCATTACAATGGTGTCTTTTTGCTTTTGGCTCATCGCTATCTTTATTTTCTCCTATAAAAACAATCCCAAAACAGGTCCAAAATACAGTTTGATTACATTTGTGCTCCTAATTGCTTAAACATGAGCAAAACATCTTACTAGCATAAGTGAAAAGTGAAAGCTGTTGTAGCTGCACCATGGTAATCAAAACAAAAAAAAAGCCGTTGCCATAAGTGAAAAGGAAAAAGATCCGTCCCTTGGTTTTTAAAAAATCGGGTCAATAGCTTTTCTGTAATCCTGGACGAACAAAGCCTCATACTAAAACCTGGTGAGTGTAAATAAATGAATAATTATTTCGGCCATGTAAACATAATTAAAAGTAACAATTCCTTTAGGGAACCTTTAGTTGATTCTGAAGACTGAATGGAAGTAAAATGTAAAATATTGTACGTCAGTCCTTTTTTCATCAGGGTCAAATCTGACTTTGCATTTTTGATACTTGTACGGATACAAAGGGGTCCTATAGTAGTACATGTGTATTTGGGACAAGCTGTGCCTTTTACATTGTGCAATCAATGATAGACAATGAGCCATAAGGAAAATGTATACCATAGATATGTTTTAATGCACATGTGCACACAACACATGTAAATGTAATAAACATCTAAGAACCGAAAGGCTGTAATGCCCCGGGCCCCTTTTGGGCACCTGTGATGGGTAACAGAGCTCAAGGAGTTGCGACAGCTGTTTTTGCTTTTTCACCCACAAGAAGAAATTGCTTGCCAGCTAAATTTGGTTTATTATCATGCGTCTCACTTTGTGGCCTGTTTATAGGGAGTCCCACCCCAGAGTTGCCTAGCGTGTCACTTCCATCAGTGGGAATGGTCTGAAAGGCAGGAAGCTGCTTCTGAAGCTTCTCATTGTACAAGAAGTCCACTGTGTGCACACGTCTCCCTGAATATTGCTGTTTATTTGTACTATATGTAATGTACGTGATGTGAGTTCGATCCTGCTGTGTGTATGGACTGCATGTGTTCAAGGCCTCATTTTAAAAGTAATTCCCTATGTGAAATATTGTGTCATATGTATATGTTGATTTTTGAAGGAAATTCACCAAATCTTATTTATGTTCTTGTTATTGCACCTTTTATTGTCTTCTGTATATACATGTAAATAAACCATCAACATGTATCCAATGTGTTCCAATTATGATGTTGTGGTCCACCTGGCCACCAGGAGGCGCCACTGCGGCGTGTATAACAATGTATTCTTTTTAACCTTTTTAGGCTACAAATACTGTTTTCAAAGCATACTTAAAAAAGAGGTTGTATTTGCCTTTATATAAGTATTTCCTCTTCGTGTTTTGTCGTAATTACTTCAAGAAAATACATCACTGCATATGCCATACTTCTATCTTGGTTCTGTCAAATATAATCAGCATTGTATTTGCTTGTAGACATTTGAGTGATAGGTTTAGATCAGTGGATTGGGATGTCTTGCCAATGTAATATACAGATTCAAACTGTTACGTTACAGCCCAAATGAAATATCCTATTCAGACACATGTATGTGTTTTATTTTTTAAAGACAAAGGAAATGTGCAAAAGATATTAAGGTAAACAATATCAGCACAATGCAAGTGATATAAATACATATGAAATATTGAAAGCCAATTACATTTATAAGAATAAATACTACAAATAAAGTAAATAAATAAGTGCTTTCAGGTTTTAAACCAAATTAAATACCAATGTCTTTAAACAGCATTGGGGACGAATAACGGGTGTATTTCATGTAATTATAATTCCTGAGCTTTGTTCCAAATGCAGTGCTAATAAGGTATACACGTGTATCAGTGTGATATAATTAAAACCCATTTGATGCACATTTAAACATTCTCCTTGGTTTTCTGTAAAACAAATTGGAGGAGCAGACAAAGGTAAATGTTTACCTATTTATTTTATGCATTTGATTAAGTTCTCCCCCCGTCTTGCTGTTGTTAATTATGGCTCGGTGATAAATGTTTGATGAAGGACAGTGATCGCTTGTAGTTCCCAATAATAGACCTCTAAGTGCTGATTCATGTGCTACCTCTCAGCTCTTGTGTTTACTGCAGCCGGATTATCGACAGGTGGCATCACCAGCAATGCTGACTGAACAATCGTCGGCCACCACCCTACACTGGATACTCCCAATGTATCACAGCCGAATAACAATTGATAGCTATAAGATCCCTAAACTACAAAACTGGCTACAGGGAAAACTCTACAATTACCAACATACCCCAATGCATTTGGAACATTTTGGGGATATCATAGATTAGGAAAAAAAAGAGGAGGAATCACGAAAGGTCACAATTCAGTGGTCATAGGACAACCACAATGGAAACTGGATACAGATTTTAGGAGTAATAATATTTAGTAGGCTACGTTTCTAATGTGCTAGGTGAATGAACGGCTTTGTGAGGATTGTAATCAAACAACTAGTACTCACTAAAATTAAACCTTTAATGAATGAGTATGAGTAATACACACAATTGACGACTAATCTATATGTAATCCCTCAATAAACGACACATGACACAGTGATAGCACAAATATAGTAACACAAAAACGGGAGTGGCGGATTGAACCTGAACGCAGCATTTCTGATTGACAGGCCTTCCTTGCCCAGTCAACAATAGAAACGGGAGTGGTTTACGTCAACGTGTGACGTTCTGCACGGAGCTGTATATAGAGAGGGAGGGGCGTGTCCCGCAGCAATAACGACCAATCAGGAAGCGGATGGGACTGCCGAAGCCGCTCGTGCTTCTGCAGATGGGCGGGGCCGCGTTCAGGGGCTGTGTGGAGAGAGGAGAGTGAGTGAAAAAGCAGAGGGAGAGGGGAGAAATAACAGACGGTAGGGATGTGTGTGAGTGTGCGGTGAAAGGTGGTGCAGGTACAGTCAGAGCAGGATACAGGTTTTGTAGCCGCACCGGACCGCGGCAAAACCTCCTCAGAGCCTGCCTCTCTCCTCTTCGTCTCCCCCCTTACTCCGCAATGTCTGGCGGAGGAGAGGTACGCGTCGTCCGCCAAGAGCCCGGACAAGAGAGCCCGAGGATGCCGGCCTGGAAGCGAGAAATCCTGGAGAGGAGGAAGGCGAAGGGCGGCGGGTCTGGAGGAGCCGGTGCCGCGGAGACCGGCCCCGTCAGTGCGGGCTCGCAGCGAGTTAACGGTGAGCAGACGGGAAATGTGAACGGTAACACCGGCAGCGGACCGAGCGGCGGGTCCGGGCGGAGCTACACCATCACCACAGCCAGTCAACACTTCGGCAACAACAAAGAGCCGACGGACACGGAGAGGACGACACCGAGGGAGTACACCCGACAGGAGAGCCTGGTGCTGCAAGAGAGCCTGGGCCCCCTGGAGGAGAACCCCTTCATTAAGCTGGAGAAGGAGCGGAGGCGGCGACAGGACCGAGAAAACACCGCCCGTCCGGTCCAGCACATCCTTGAGCTGTATGGCAGTGTACCCGGTATACGGACTATACGTGCAGACAATATTATCATAATTGAGTCGGACCCGGATTACTTTCCGGAAGCTGGAGGGGCACAAAGCGGGTCCAAATGGCACACAAACGGTGTCAGTAATTACGGTGTCAGTAGTTACAGCTCCCTGAACGACCTCCTGGACCGGAGAGGGAGTGCTATTACTGAGATAAGGGCCAAGGAAGTGGTCATTTATGACACCACGTTAAGCAAGAGTGAGGAGAACTTGAGCACTCTGGGCCGCCCTGATCATGAGTCTGCATCATATGAGACAGGTGAGGGTCAGGGCAGGGTTAGCCGGATGCTGCAGAAGTTTGACTGCAACTACGGGAAGCTGCAAAAGAAGTCCCGCAGCACAGAGAATCTGCTGGACCTGGATTGTAGTGCCAGTAGCAGGCCACGACTCTGGTCCAGGCCACAGCCAGATCTGGTGCCAAAGGTCAGGCAAGGCCCGTCGGTCAGCAGCCAGCCATCATCGCCTGTCTTCCAGAGTCCCTCGTCTTCCAGACCAAAGCCACAGCCTGCTTTCTCTGAACTGGGCAGCCCCCAGCGCCTTGCTGGGACAACTCTACCTGTGTCTCCTTTCCGTCAGCGGTTTGCGGAGAGTGGAGGCCCTGGAGATGAGCCAGACAGGGCCCAAACCAAGCCCATCAGAGAGAGGGACTGGGAAGGCTCTGAGGTGTCACCAAAACCCAAGGTGCCATGCTCCCCAGAGACCCGTCGTGTCCGTGCTGAGCCCCCCTCAAGCCCAATCTCATTCAAGGTGTCTCGCTCCTCATCTGACTTCGAAATCCGTCCCTCTCCAAAGCCAGACCTCGATCGTATTCCTGATGGGGACACCCAGGCACGGGCCCTCGCTAACCTGCGCCTGCAGTCCCGTAACTCCTTCACAGTCATTCCCAAGCGGCGTCCTGCTGCCTCAAATGCAACAGACAGTCCTGCACCGTCCAGCCCTTTCAAGTCTTCCCCTTCCCACAGAGTGGCAGAGGTGTCCACACCAGGAGTGCCAACCTCGTCACCCTCGAAGAGGACTGAGGAGAAACTGCTGGAGGAGAAGGAAGCAGAGAGGCTGAAGAGGCTTTCAAAGCCTTCATCTCCTTCTGTTGCCACAAGTCCTCCTCCAACCTCCGAACCTTCATCTCCTGCTCCAACACCAGCTCCCTTCTCTCCTCCTGCCCCGTCATCCCCCTCCTCTTCTCCCCCTGTCCCGTCTTCACCCACCTCTCATCCGGATCTGTCAGACTCCCCAGCCCCATCACCTGTCCCTTCTACCCCCTCCCCAGCTCCAGAACAACCTCCTGTGGATCAGTTGCCTGTAACGAACATAGATGACATTGAAGTGGAGCCCCAGAAGCAGCATGTCCCTGCTCCCAGCCCCATGGGGCAGAGGAGAAAGGGGAACACCTTCACCGTGGTCCCTAAGCGTAGGGTGGAGGCCGAGGGCCAGCCCAGCTCCCCTGAGCCCCAGCAGGAGGCCTCGAGTGAGGCTCCCCTGGCGTCCACACCCCCACAGGCCCCTTACGCTCAGCTGGGCTCCCTGCTGAAGAAACGCTACCCTGCTGTGGAGGAGATCGAGGTCATCGGTGGGTACCTTTCCCTCGCAAAGTCCTGCATCTCCAAGACGGGCTCCACGGGGAAGAAGGTGAGAGCATTAACGGAACCAAACTGTTGTTTTCTTCCACAAGTTATTTGCGGCTCTTAATTAAATAACTGTAAACTGAATATATTTGGGTTTTAGGCCATCTGGCAGACTAGACATGTGAAGACATCACATTCGCTTCTGGGAGTTTGTGATGGGCATGTTGTAACACTTTCCATAAATCAGTTCATCAAAAACACAGATTCATTCATAATGAAAATAATCGTTATTTGCTGCCATAATTGATAGATTATTGTTCTTAATGGAAATAAGCAGCACGACTAGGGTTGGGAACCGAAACTCGGTTCCAGATGAGAACCGATAAGAAAATGCCGGGTACCGGGTACCCATACAAAATACACAATTTCGGTTCTGCTTAACGGTTCCTAAACGGGGTAGACCCTGTATTCCAGCGGGTCCGTCTGCACCGCGGTGCTGCGGTGACCCGGTGGAATACAGGGCGGACCTGGAGAATCACAGAACGGCCGGTCGTCAGCGGGCCGTTGACGGCCGGCTCGGTACGCTGACGGCCGGCACCGCCCTTCATTTTTTTAAACGGCATCATATAAATTGCGCTGACAGGCGACAGAGGTCCACAGTTGCCCCGCAGCGATGCCCCCCCGCCCTCCCGTAGACATTTCACGAGCTCAGTCACTTCATAACACCAAAGATAGGTCGCGGTAAACACTCTGAAGTGAGGCTCCACTACACTAAAAAAGAAAAAGAAAAGGCAAAGTGTAATGCCTGTTAATAGCTTGCCACAGGCATAGCTCAGTTAAAATAAAGCACAGCTATTGTGCAATACATTTGTATTGCATGTATATTTTTTAGTAACAATTTCAGTTAAAGCTTTTAAGAATAAATATATTTTTGTTATCTAAACGTTTGACCTCTTTATTTTACAATTTTGGAATCGAAACGGGGAATCGATAAGAACCGGAATCGATAAGCAGAACCGGAATCGAAATCGGAATCGATAAATTTCAAACGATACCCATCCCTAAGCACGACATCACTGCAGCAAACAGTAGGAATATTATTGTGTCCTTACAATCTAATGCGTAGCCAAATCTCCCCTGGGGGATCATGAAAGCTTTCTCTGATCTAAATTTAGTAACCAAACGTCACACAGGGAAGTAAAGTCTCTGGTTGTCTTGCGTTTTTTAATTATTCTCAAACCAAGCACACCAGTAACCTGTGCTTTTTTTTAAGGAGTCAAGCCACACGGGTAAATCCTCACACTTATTTGCATGCGAGGTGGCGAGTGAGTCTGTCTGCTGCTCTAAATCTCCCTGCCCATCACTTGACTTGCGCTCAGGCCTGACGCCTAAGTGGATTAAAAGGGTGTGTTTACACAGCCACTTGGAGCGACACACAGCGCTTTCTGCTGCGGATCGCCGTCCCACAAAGGCATGTTATTTGTCAAAGAGTGCATTATTGTGTTAGGTGCCCCTCCAAGCCTATTGACTGAACAATCTCACCAAGACTGTATTCATTTCTGAGGATTTGGCTCGGGGTTTGGAGCCAGCTTGTCTCACACTCTACGAGGAACATATTTATTGGTTATTTTTCGGTTGAATTCATCTGTGTTTTGGCCCAAAACTGAGATATTCCCAGGCCTGGTCCTAAATCATAATGAAATGATAACAAAGTTTGTGTTTGGGGCATCACAGTTTTCTTACAATCATAATCAGATAGCTGGTGCTTGCTCGGCGAAGGTCTGGCTGCAAAGTGCTCCTTTTTCATTAGGGATTAATTAGATACCACAGAATGTTTCAAAGGTTGCTGCAGGCTGCGTTCAGCTCGGAATCAGCCTGAGTGGCAAACATTATTTTCAATATGTTTACGTAATTATTGAATGCCAAAGAAAGATCTCAGCCTTTTTCAACCCAATAAAAAACATCTTTGAAGCATCGCGATAGTTCCGGGTGTGGTGCAGGGAACCACAGCATCCTGGGTCCAGCCTCATATCATCCCTCGCCCTTCCTCTAAGCATGTCATACTCTGTCAGCCAAAGAGGAAATGTTTTCAGCACCAGTTACATCACAACGTGTGAGTTAAAAACACCACATCACCTCTAATGCCAAATATTTAGAGCCCTTTGGCAGCTTTAAAATGTAGGCCGGTGTGTCAGTAGCCTCTTAGACGTTGGCCTGCAGTCCTGTTTCCTGGACCTGGTCTGCTGTAATCCTCTGCCCTCTAAATATATCCAAACACCTCTTACAACTCTGGCACAAAACTACTCAAGATTGTATAAGGTGCACACAGTGACCAAATGGAATGATGCGTGAATGAAATATTTTTTCTGACCAGGTCTGGACGGTACTCTTTAATTCCTCTAGGTTATTATATTTACACCAATGTCTTGAATTGAAACCTTTTACTTTGGATTATTTGATCAAATCAAAAGGCTTTACTGAGACTTGCTGTGCTCGCTTGATAGCTTTAGTATTAGGACTGAAAGTCTGTTAGCTATCATATTGCCTGGAAACCTCTCAAACATCCTTAGTACTCGGTAAACACTCAAACCCAAAATGCTTTTTTTATTGTCACACAATTGCTTTAAATGGGAGTTTGTGAAGCAGTTTCTCCTCACTTCCTTGTAATTGAGCTTTGCTTTTTGGCAGGATAAACTCTAGGTACGTGACAAGAATTTAAAACAAAGTTCCGCGGGTTTCGCCTGCAAATCATGACTTTATAATGACGGATATTTCAGCTGCTGACTTGTGTCGAGCCTCACCCATGCGACCTGGTTTTAGTGCATGTGTTGCATGCAGAACACCAGGGACTGTGGCCATAAGACATGACCACATCCTGTCTTTTGTCCATGTCTCTCACACACCAAACACATTCTGCTTTTGTTGTCCGTCCACTCTTTCTCGGTCATCATCAAGGACCAGATATTTTGTTCTACTTCTTTTCTTTTTCCGGGCAGGGCTGCACTGGCAATTACAAAAGCATCGAGGCTTGGCCTGGCCTGTATAATTTGTGCGGAATTTGTGTGCTTCTGTGTGAGAGCAGCCTCTGAGAATGGCCTCCGCTCAGCGTTCTGCTCTGGAGATTGTTTTTTTTTTTTGTTCTGCTTTCTTTTTCCAGCAAACCATTTTTTATGAGAAAACTTGGCCGTAAAAGAATGTTCCACATGCACGTCAGTACTTGAGAACTTAACCAAAGCAGATCATCAACTCTTCCTCCCCAAAAATATTTCACTCTATCCACGCTCTCTTGATGCATGTTCTTATTTTTGAACTCTTTCAAGGCTGTTGCTGAAAGCTGGACCACATCCAGCACAGTCTCATGTACTCTCGCTCCACAAGCACCACTCTGCTTTGTTTGTCTATTTCCTCTACCCACGGTGCACTGCTTTATTCCTGTGAGGTGGTGGTTAATAAGGCCTTTCCCCTCGCTCCCATCTTCCTGTGATCCCCTCCTCTCTATTGAGGAAAGAATTGTGGAAGCGTTATGTAGGTCAAATGCAGCTTCTCGTACCGCATCATTCCCGCAATTTGCATAAAATCGTCTCAGGCTTCCGAGTGTAATGCACAGGCCAGGATCGACTCACTTTTCTTGGTCTGATTTGATTGGAATGGGCTCTCTTGACTTGATCAGTTTTCAAATGTCCTTGTGGTAGACACTGCCACTCTCCTTCAAAAGAGTGCAACAACCAGGAGGGGGTGGAGTGGTTTGTTTTTGAAGTGCCTGCTCCCTCTGACTGGTTATTATGGGGAAAGGGAGACAGACCCATGTGTTTGTCAGCACAACATCCAGAGGGAGAGGGAGAGATTTGATGAGCTTTGCCGTCTTTTTCCACTGTTCTCATTCACACAGACCAACCACTCTAATGGTTTAAACTGCTGCAGCATTTTTATGTGTAATTATGACCATTCTGTCAGGATAATGATTCGTTTTGGTGGAGGATTGTTAAACTGAAAGGGATAATTATTCAGATGCTGTTAGTGTAATGGAATTATGGGATTTGGTTTTGTATCAATCTCTTAATTTGTCTTTTTTTAGTGTTTTCTTACCGCTAAGTGCTATTGCACCATGAAGGCCATCCCATCTAGCTAATGGCTACGTGAAGCTATCTCATAAGGCAGTAGGAGTATATTGGACAGAATTAGTGGGAGCAGTCGTCCTAAGTGGTCCGAGTTGTTTATACTATGCAAGGTAATTTAGTAACCATGGTAACACATGCGCACGTTACTTGTTACAGGCGTGTTCCCTAATGCTTGTTTTGGTTTTTTTCTGTGGACTAAATGAAGCGAACTACAGGTGTGAAAGCATGTCTATTTAAAATATACTGAGCAATAGTACTCACTTTAGTAAAAAAGAAAAAACCTGTGATAATTTCTACGATTGAGGTGGTAAATTACGAGACAAACGTAAATAATACAAGAAACCGGTTGAAGAAGAAAGATTGTATCAACACCCCACAACCCATCTTGTAGACAGGGTAGGCGACACACATTAGTTCGGAGGTGCGACTGTTTGAAACACAGTGGTATCCTTCATCTGTAAATTGCTTTATTGTTCCTGATGTACTAAAGATATCACTTCATTCAAATCAGTGCATTGTTATCATCCGAATAGACCCAATTCATAGCACAACTATTCAAAGTACAGATGTCTTAGATATGGTGTTTCTGGGAAGAAATCCTGAGTATTTCCTTATTGCAAGTGCAAAGTATCATTTGATTAGATCAACCACTGCAGGCGTAATACATGGCAAACAGCGGCGCCTTTGCATGGTTGGATGAACCTAATCTAGCCGTGCAAATATGGTCAATTTCCACAAAAAATCAACACAAACTTTTGACTTCGCAAATCTCAGAAAATATCTCAGTCATAAGCTCAGAGAATATTTGAGTTTTCAAAATGTTTTTCTTTAACATGTGTAAATGTGGATATTTCTTCTCGTATGAATCCTCTGCCTCTCTAGTTGAATGTTGTCAGCCTATAATGGCCGTGATTGAATAAATGAATAAACCTGCAGTTTAAAAACA